TTCATGGGTCATTCACCTTTGGAGCCTTTAACCACTGTGGAGGAAATGAGAGGTCTCCATTCTGTCATGAAGCCCAGGCAGTGCCTACCAGAAAAGTGAGTGATATATGCTTCTAGGTGATTCTAGTCTCCAGAGGCTGAAACACTCCCAACCCTTCAAGTCTTTCCTGCTGAGGCCCCAAATATCACCACAAGTCATCTTCATAGTATCCTTTTCAAATTTTTGGCACATAAAATCAGTGAGCATAATAAATGGTTCTTTTTGCCTCTCAATATGGGGCAATATATCACTTTCATAATTGCTCAGATACAATTCCTGACACTTGCAACTTATAGGGGGAGAGGTATTTTGGCTTATGTTTTTTAGAAGTTTCATTCCATTGTTGTCTAGCTCCATGGTGGAAGGGTCTGTGTGGAGGAAAGCTGCTTATGCCACAGCAGCCAGGAAGCCGAGGAAAGGGAAGAACTGAGGAGGAAGGTAACTCCTTCTGGATCATGTCCCTAGTGACCTGCCTCTCCCCACCAATCCCCACATCCTATCAGTGGATGAACCCAGTGATGAGTGTAATGGGTCCCAGGATCTATTCACCTTCCAAAAGACCTGCCTCTGAGGTTAAGGACGTTTGGAGGGACATTCTAGATCTGAACCATAATGTAACTTTAACAGTGAACAGAGATACCTTTTTTTTTTTCTGGTTCATTTATATCTGTTTAGCAGGACCAGTAGAGCAGAGAGGGGAGGGAGGGAATTATTAATTATTGATGCCTTGTTGGGTCACATATATATTGTCTTATTTAATATCAGTATTATGAAGTAATTATCATCAGTCTTAATGTAGAGAGAACTGAGGTTCAGAGACTAAGTGATTTTTCTAAGATCACACAGCTAGAACACAAGTCCACTTTTCCTCATGGCTCTATAGTTCGAAGGATTTTTTCCTACCATGCGAGAAACCAGGCTAAATGTAAGTCCTTGAAGTATCATAAATAGTAAATTTTGAAAATAACCCAGTTCTTCATCAGTTAGCTCAGTTGCTGAGCAACTAGGTCAGGAGATAGGAGGGAGATGAAGAGAGAGGCATATTTCCCAGTTCTCTTAGACAATCTTGTGTTGGTTGAATGGTTTATACCTGATGTCCCAGTAAAATTGTTAATACTATTTCCTTCTAGTGTCACAAGAGGCCCAGTTTGGATGATGAATTACATGGTTGCAGGTAGTACTTCCCAAACTGAACTTTTAGAAGGGACTAGGGAGAAGTGCTATGGAATGATTGTGTGAGATGGCAGGCAGACAGTGATTAAAGGTTCAAAACAAGTAGAATCTGTCGACTCAATGAAAACCTAGTTCATTCACTGTTCAACAACATTAAAAGATCAAATGGTGATTTTGTTCAATGTAAAAATAGGTTTGTTGCACATCATTTGTGTACCACTGTTAAACAGCTTTAAAATCCAAATGGACAAAAACCAATGAGACTTCCTCAACAAACAAAACAAACCACAGTTGAACTGGTCACCTCAATTAACCTAATTAGTCTGTGTCTAGCCAAAATAGCAAGGATATTCCATATATATCTTGAGGAAATGGTGGGTAAATGAATTAATTCAAAGATCAGGCTGTATTTTTCAAAAGTGTGGTCTACTCACTATGGATGTTAAACTTGCTGTGGGGGGGCAGATTAAGATCACAAATTCCTGGTCTCTGTATCTGACTATGAAATAAATCATCTTCTGAGGAGAGCCCAAGACTCAAGCATTTTTAGCAAGTTCCCAGGCAATTCTGCTCTATGCTTTAAAGTTTGAGGACACGTGGGATTAGATTTTTAGGGCCAAGGAAACACTAAGGCTACAGAAAGTTTATTGATTTGGGAGTTGTTGTTAGTTGGTTTGTTGATTTAAAATTGTGGATGCATCAAGAATGTGGACTAGAGGACTAAGTCCAGGTATAGTGCTAACCTCAGTCATCACTGTGGAAGGAAGATGAAGTTGGTTTTAATTCCAGACTGCTTCCTTACATAAATTACAAGCCCACTCACCAATAGGAGGAAAGAGTTGCCTTTTTTTATTACAAGAAAAGAGGATATATTTGCACATTAATCTTTTTCTCATTATTACCTTTGTCATTTGGATTAATCTCATCTTGGATTTGCCAAGCACTCTTTAGCAACACTAACAAATTTCAGAAGAAAAGGAATTAGGTTCATTCTGGCCAATGTGAACAAAGTTAAGCAAAGGGGCATCCTGCAGATTTAGGCATATGAAGAAGGAATATCTCACTTTCTCAGGATATTTGTCTCTGTACAAACAGAACTTGGCATCCATTTTTGAGATAATCTAGCTCAACCTTCTTATGGTCTAGATGAAGCCCAAAGAAAGGAAATGGCTAGAATAAATGATGGTTCTTCTGCTTCCTCTCTCTCTCTCATTTCAACAAGGAACTTGTTACTTGCTTTCTCTGAAATATGGGATAATAGCAATGCTACTGGAAGAAAAATCAACATGAAGATCTTGAAGGAAGAGAGCCACATCCAGTGTGGCTGCCCCTGGTGTTGTTGCCCAGGTGTTGTTCAGCAGAATTCACAAAGCCAGTTGATGATATAGCCAGGAGCAGGCCCAGATCTCTCAACGCCCCTGCATTTTCCGTAGTGTGAAAGTTCTGTCTAGCTCCAGAGCTCAGTTACATGAGGTACCTGCGTGTCTCCACCTTGTCTAGTGCTATTTTAAGATCTTGCAGAAGTGCCCAGGAACAATGAGCCCTGGCTGGTTGCCTCTGGCCGCACAGCCTGTTCTTAGGGACAGGTGGCCTCTGCCTGGACTGGACATCTGTCTGTGCCCCAGAGTGCCCTGTGTTTCTAGCCCCCCTCCCTGTTTATAAGCCACTGGGGGCCATGAATGGGGGCTGAGGCCTAAGATGACCAAGGCATGTTTCTCCGTGGGCAGCTAGATACCCGAGCTTTGTGTCATGGGAAGGGGGTGAAGCACGTGGGCTTCCAAGTAGACTTCCTGGTTCCACCAGCTCCTGCTGTGGGGCTTAAATTAGCTACTGACCCCTGAAACCATCAGTTTCCTCATTTGCCAAATCATGAGTAGAATACCTATCTCCCCGAATTGATGTAAGGGTCAAGAAGGAGACTGACAGAAAGCAGAGCCCGACCCACAGTCCATGGTAACTTAGGGTACTTTATGTTCACTTTTAACAAAGCTTGATGAATTTCAGGGAGAGGTAGGATACAGAGAACTTTCCTGTAGAAATGACAGACATCGAGAGTAAGAATTGTAATTTGTAATGCAACAATATTTTGAATAATCATAAAAACATAATGCCAAAACTGAGAATTGATTGAAATTATTGCATGGTCAAGGAGCTTGGCTATAGCTCTACAAAAGAAGCAATGGAACTGATTTCTGTGCTGTCCTGTTTTATGAGTGATTCTGCTTCCCTGTCTCCCCACTTCTCCCTCAGAGTTGGTTATGCTGGTTTAAGAAATTGGTGTAAAAATAAATACACTGGAAGTTCTTATCCGTGTTTATAAGCCTATAATCAGGAACTTGGAGGAAGTTTTAATTAATAATGAATTAATTATATAAATAGAATTAATTCATATATACTATTTAATAATAGAAGCCAGTTGGCCATAGTACAGTAAGCAAATGAAATATATTCTTGCTAGGTCTCAAATGGAAAAAAAAAAACTTTTCTCTTTGGAGAGGTTGCTGTTATTGGTTTACTAGTATGGGTGGTGACTGATATGCAGCTCTGGCCCCTTAGCGCTTCTGTTATGCCAGGTGGTTATTAAATTAGTCAAGATAAGCCAGATAATGCTGAGGTAACGAGCAACTCCAAAGCTGTGTGGCCAGAACATTTATTTCTCCCTGAAGTGATACATCCTCGTCTGTTTGTCTGGGCCCTGGGGACCCAGACTGAAGGTGCAGCTTCCATGTTGCGAGTTATTGAGGCCCAGGGAAACAGTGGCAGATTGAGCCCAGGTTCCTAAAGCTTCCAACTGGTTGTGGCACACATTGCTTCTGCTCAGAGATCTCTGGCCACAGCCAGGACACACCCAACTGTAAGGAAGCAGAGAAGTACAGCTTACTGTGTGTTTGGCAGGAGAACAGAAATATTTGGCGAAGAGCACAAACACTCCATTTCTATATGTGTCTTAGCAGCCACTACTCTTGGAAGGCAAAGAGTGTGACTTAGTCCTTTTTGCATTCTCCCAGAACCAGGTGAACTAGAAACACTGCAAATAGTAGATGAATGGAACAAAATAGGAAGCAGGGCTAGAACATTTGGTCTTCTCTTCCCTTTCTTCTTTTGGCCCTCTCTTCTCACATTGAATCAGGATCTGGACTCTGCAGTTGATACCTAGATGAACTTGGACCATCATTGAGCTGCTCAATGCCTCAGTTCTTTCATCTGGAAGATGGAGGCATCATTAGTCCTCTGTAAAAATTTAAGGTGGCATGTGTGGAAGCCAATGGCTACTTAGTGGCTCTGGCTGTTTCCAGAGCCCTTGCATACCTGTCATGGCAGAGCTGCCCCACGGAGGCTTGCAGTCCTAGGCAAGGCCCTGCTTCTCTTCTATTTCATATCAAGACTCAACAGTCCTGTATTAGATTTCATCAGAAGTTTCTTTTTTACTAAATAGATAAAATAATCCCTGTTATTAATTAATTACTATTAATGGGCTTAAAACCCCCCTACCCCCAAATTGTGGGCTCTAAAGGTAACTCACCTGATCTAGAGGAATGGCTGTCATAAATTTATAGTATTCATATTCAAAATGAAAGACACTGTGCAGATCCTCCAATGTGATGGCTTTCAAATTTACTTTTTCCTAACTGAATGATAATCCAGACCCTTGCCTGTGAAATATAAAGGGGTCTGCTCTGACTGAGAGGGGGTGGTCAGCATCTCCTTGGCCCTGGGGTACCCTAACCAATGCATTGATTCCAAGCCACCTCCAGTGATTCTAAGCCAACATTCTGGTCTTGTAGAAGAGGGACTGAGGCCCAGTCTCTGAATGGGAGCGACATCAGGCTTCACAGACTGTCCAGCACGGGACTGAGGTGAGACTCACTGCACTCTGACAAACTCATCCAGTAGTGGCCAGCGCAGAAAAGGGTTGAGTCTGGCAATTCATGGAGTTTGTTCATTTAAAGGCAAAGCAAAATTCTTCTTCTAAGGCTATGGGTAGCTAGACAGAGATAACAAGATAAAAAACCTTTTACCTCCAAGCTACCAGTTTGAATGTAGTACAGTCTGTTAGTTATTCGAGGCCATTATTGTGTAATAGGTTATCAAAGGCCTATGTGAAATGTGTGGGATTTTTATGAGCTTATTTTTTATTATAGTAGAATGTTTAAAGGTCCCTTAGGTACAAAATGCTTTGAAAGTTCTAATGGGGCCCCACAATCACTTGTAGAATTCTGAAGGTCAAATTGTGCTGAACAAGTGGGAGCCATTTTTGATTAAATTAGTGGAGGGAGAATAGAATATTAAAAAAAACCAGCTTCTGTTGTTGTTGATGTTGTGGCCCCTTTTAGCCTTCTGGGCACAGTGAAATCTCCTTTTTGAGGTGGGGGTGGGGAGAGAGAACTGCCACTCTGATACATTTTCCTACTTTGGGTCACCAGAGGTGGATTTTTCACCCCTGGGTTTACTGTGTGAGAAGGGTGGATATACATTAAGTTTCAGAAGAAAGTGGGCCATGGTAGCCACTCACCTCTGCTTGGTAAGGAGAGTTGCTTTAACTTGTGTTTATCCCTGAACCCCACGGCCCCACGACCAGCAGATGCTTGTCTGGAGCAGGTCTCTGCCTCACCGGATGTCCTTCTATAGTGTTGCCTGCTGCTTTCACTTGCTGTACTCAATTTTCCATCTTACACTAGGAAACTGTGAAGTTAGAAAAACAATGGACTGTTTCCTTCCTCTTTCTTTAAACCAAGAGGCTGAAAGGAGGGCTACATACTCATTATTCACAGGTTTGACTTGGGGATAAAGGTCATTAAAGTTCAAATATAACAAAAATTAAAATCCGCATGTCTTAGTGAGTCCCAGCCCAGCTGGGGTCAAATGGCACCTGGCCCCTCCAGGATCTTCATCGTAAGCAGGGGCTTGCCTCAGGTTTTCTGAGTGTATCGGGCTGACGTTTAGTTTCTGAGCTGGCTAAAAAGAGATCAAGATTATAGGCATGGACAGGAAGAGCTGACAGAAATTAAGTTCAACATGGGGCAGTTTGCCCCTCTAGGGATTTACCTCCCAGGCCACCTGTTACCACCATTATTCCTGGGTGTGACAGGAATATTTGTTAAAATGTTATATTTAAGCACACTCCTTGCTAAACAGTTCAGACGGTTTTTCCTGCCATTTAAAAAATTTCCTCTCTGTAATATCCTTTTGCAGGAGACTGTTTTTTGTGGCTAGACAACTTGTGGCTAGAAAACCCTCAGCTGGTGAGCTATAGATGCACCAGTACAGCCATCCTGCCCCATCACACCGAAAGGGAGGAGGAAACCACTTTGCTATTTGTGCTAAAAAGTGGCTGTCATGATTCCTACTACACAGCCCTCCCTGTTGCACTTGAAATCCACAGGGGAGAGCCAGAACTCACAGAACTGTAGCAGCGTGAATGTGGGGGCAGTGAGGGAGGATGCAATGATAAATTGCATCCGACCACAGTCACATAACTTTTATTAGAGTCCATTGCTGTGATCTGTTCTCACAGTGCCTGAGTTATAAATGAGGTTTTGTTGTAGGTATGTATGTAATGGAAAAATAATAGAACATAAAGGGATTAGCACTAACTGCAGTTCAGGTATCTAGTGGGGGTCCTGGAACATATTGGCCATGGAGAAAGTGGGGGTGCTATGTAAATCTGGCCTCCCGAAGACTGCTGGAGACAAGATAATCCAGGAGGGTCAGAGACAGCGGGCAAGCTCAGTGAGTAGCTGGCAAGGGAGCGATACTGTGATAAAGGAAGGCACTCCCGCTACTGGCTCCTGCTCAGCAGGTAGGGATTCCATCTGAACATTTCCAGGAGAAATTGTTCCTCAGTAGCATTCACATATCTACTATTGCCAAATCTTGGTTTGGAAAAAAAAAATCTCATAATTCAGTTGTGCAGCAAATATGGTCTGGTCTTGTCCCCATAACACTGGCAGACTAAAACTAGTTGAATATAAGATTTGTGCATCCTACTGGAAATAGAACGGAGAAAACCAAAAACCAGGACAATTATTTGGCCATCATAACAGACCAGCATAATAATATTTATATTGCTTTATATGCTATTCTAATTATAAAAAAATTATATTGTTGTTTTCCACCATTGAAAGTATATGCTGTATAAAGATTGCCCTGTTATTTTCATTTAAAAATGAAGAAATGGAACTTGATTTATTTATCTTAATCACATAGCAAAGTTTTGAGCTTTTAGGATTAGAATTAATACTGTTGAATTCACATAAAATCTTCATGTTGATCATAGCAGTAATAGTAAGAGTGTTTATTGAGCCCCTACTGTTTCTTTGGCATAGTGCCAAGTACTTGATGTACTTGATGTGTATGTTTTTTGTCATAGTTACCTTATAAAATGAAGCTTCTTAGTTCCATTTATGGTTGAAGATACTCAAACTCACTGAGGTCAAGTAATTTACTTCAGGTTCTATTTCTAGTGAATTGAGTTCTTATTCTGTCTCTCTTATTATATGGGTCATGGTCCTTTCTCTATGTCTCAGTCTCAATAGTTATTGGGATATGAATGATATGATTCTATTTTAACCTTTCACCTGTATTGGCCCATGTGATGAATAAGTACAGATTATTCTAAAATAGTAGCCAATTACTCTAGAAAATAGTCCTCTGCATTCTTTATACAGATGAGCAGAAGTGTAGATTTTTCACAAGTTAGGCAGACACACAAGAAAAACAAAACCAATCCCTTCCTTCTGGTTGAGCACAGCAGGATTATATATGTGTTCTGGATGACTTTGGTCTTAGAGGGTGGTATATACTAGACAGTGTCAATCTTTGTTTCCGCCTTAAAGATTGGATGGAGATTCAGGTTGAGTCCAAGAGAAGAAGTCATGGCTGCTCATGATTTGTCTGTGCAGAATAGTCTCACCGTTCTCCATTGCATTATTTGAAACACAGAGCTCTCTGCTCTATGTAATCCTCCTGTGACTTTCAATGTGGATTCTATTGAATGTAACACTCCCTGCCCTTCAGATCAAGATCAGAATATAAATGGTGGGAGACAAGTTGTGAATTGGTCTTTTATGTAGAACACAGTTCACAAATCTGGACCTCAACCTTACCCCCATTTTGAAAGATTCATTAATTACAATGACTTCCCTTTATGTTAAAATAGCCCTTAGTTCTCGCCTCAGAGATTTTTTTTCACATTGCCTTTGTGACCCTAAATGTCTTTGAAGATCATGGGCTTGATAAATAAACAATAAACAATGATTTTGAGAAGTAAATGAGCATCCCAAGTTTAGTTTTAAGAGGATCTTGCACTAATTCTCTGTAAGTACATGGAAGTATTGTATTAAAAAGGTAGCTGGCTATTTATTACTATTTTGTGCTAGATAACTGGAAAACACCTAAATTTAACTAGTCATTTTGTGGGTTGATTAACCAGCCCATGACACTGTTTCCCTCTTAGATGGTCTTGAGAGTAATTATAATAACTTGCGTATCAGTTCAAGCTAATTATACCCCATTTTTGTAGGGTTCCTCTTTGCAAACATTCTCAAAATAGCCTACCATCTTGCACCAGTCTTCTCTTACATTTCACAATGGACACTTTTAACCAGGAACATTTCAGCAACTGTTCGGTTGGTTTTCTCAAAGGAATAGATAAATCATCATGCTGTATGATGAGAGAGGAAATGACAGTTTTATCTTTTATTCAGATAGCCTAAATTTACATGAGACCACAAAAAGTTCCCGACAGGATGTTATTGATTACGTTTACCCAGCTGGGGCTTGAGGTGGGTCTTCCTGCCACATCACAGGGCACCCTCTTTTTTTTTTTTTTTCATTCCTGCCAGGCTTTTTGGATTATTAAAATAAAGACTCCAGGAGCTTTGGAGGATTTCCTATTAATTATTCTCTTAACTCAGCTCCCTTCTCTCTGGCAGTCAGTAACAATATCCTCTCTTGTTGGGTGCCTTGAATGACAGCTTCAAGAAACTAAGTGAAGATCAAATATTCGTTGTAATAACTAAGTTTATTGAGTACCAGGCCTCCTTATTAGTGATTGCTGTGCATTGCTTCACTTTATGAAGGTGGAACTATTTTTATCTGCATTTTACAAGTAAGGAACCTGTGACACTGACATAATTTATTTAGGGCAAAGGCAGGGGCCCCATCCTTCCTTTTCCTTCCTTCCTTCCTTGCTTCCCTTCCTTCCTTCTTTCCTTCTTTCTTTCCATCTTTCCAACCCTCCCTCTCTTCCTCCTGCTATCTATCCTTTCCTTCCTTCTTTCCTTACATTCAAGTAAAAAGAATTAACTGAGCACTTAGTGTACGCCAAGTTAGCACTATTTATTGGACTGCAGATAGCAGTAAACAAAGAAAAATGTTGTTTCCCATTGAGGTTAATCACTGTCCTATACTACCCCATGTTACACATTGTCCCTGAAGAGCTTTCCCACCCAATTTCTAAACTTTCTAAGTGATAATCCCAACTTGGTTTCCATTTTAATAGTTACAAAAGTCACAGCTTGAAATATGAGCTAATATTTCTGCTTTGAATCCTTTATGTACCAATTGGCAATGTTCATTTATATTATATACCTTAGGAACCTTAGTGTTCACTCTTGCCTGCTGTGGTAGACACGAAATTCTATGCAATGGCTCTTTTAAAACCAGACTGTATTTCAGAGAGAGAGAACCTTGGACTCACTTCAAAGAGAGATGTGATTTTTCCTAATAAAAGCATAAAAAAGCTCTATTTTAAACAAAAATGGTCATGAAGCCAATTTAGGGTTTCCTGAATAAGTTTGTCATTTAATATTTAACCCCAAAAGCCATCGGCCATACTAGCTTTGGAAATCAACCTGAGCTTTCAGTCATTCATAGGGCAAGTTTGAGATAACTGCAATCAACTTCACTTTTTCTTTCCTCTTCAGCTAACTCACCATCACACTTCTGTCAGGTGGTATAGGGCAGCCATGGGTTGGGGTTTTTTGCTTTTGTTTCTTTTTGGTACCGGGAATTGAACTCAGGACCTTGTGCTTGCAAGGCAGGTGGCAGCACCACTGAGCTAAATCCCTGGCTCGGTTGTTTTTTAAATCTGAGAGAAAGTACAATTGGGCATAGTCTTAGAATGGATAGAGTGGGATATATTTCATGTTCTAGAGTCACTTTTGTGTTGTCACTAGTTATCCCAGGATGGGAACATCTTCCAGGAAAATTGCTGTTGCTCATTCTGCCAACTTATCTGACAACCTGACTGCAAGACTTGGGTTAGAGGGTCTGTCTTCATACGTTGGTGTGCTGGCTGGTCCTAGTCCTGGAAGTGTGTGGACTGAAGAGGATGAGGAATATGTGGTCTGAGTTGAAAGTTACTGGGTATATAATTCTCCAAATCTTATGGCTCATGTATGGTAGAAACTTGAGATTTCTCCTGATGTTAACAATAATCCTAAAAATGCAGGTGATAAAACCATTAAAATATTTTGATTAATTGCATTAGTACACAGACATGTATCTTACCGTTCTATTAAATAGTGTAAATTGTTGTCACAGAAAGAATATGCGGCCCAAAAAGCAAGGATAAATAGTACATAGACATGTCAGGCAGTTACTAAAAAATGTCATGTTATCGTTTTGGATTTTGTTACACTTGTATTTGTTAGCTTTTAAAGTTTATGATTTGTTATTATTTTTGATTGCTCAATAAATGTTTACTTTTGTACCTAATTTTATTTGTGATCTTGTATTATTCTGGAGGACTCCTTAATTATATAATTATGTCTTTTCAACACCTGAATGCACCGCTGCAGGAACAATTTGATGTGGCACCGAGCAAAATGTGTGTGGGTGGTTCTAGCCTGGATCTTTTCTGAATCACTTGGTCATTATAATTTTTCACTGTCAAATATAAGAGAACACTGAAAATTGAAGGTGATTTCCTCCATCTTCTCTTTATTATTTAAAATATTTGGTGTAAGGGTCTTCTAGGCACTGAAATCTGGTATTTCCTTTGCTCTTTGTATTGATCAGGGTAAATCATTAGTGCCATGTCAAAGAGCATGGCTTTTGCATTCAAACGTGATTTGTTATTTATGCCACTGGCACTCAAGTACCTCCAACTCCTACCTGCCTCACTTCCCTTCTAGTGGACTCTACTGGAAGTCACTATGATCAAAGTTAAGAACATGGTGGGCTGTGATCATGGCATCACCATAGAGACTAGGCCTTTCTGAAAGTGGTATGTGTTATTTTTATTCTTAACCCATCAGCTATAATCAGCCCATATTTTTCATGTAAGGAAGCTGAGACATTTCTAGTACTGTTTGCCTTCTCTTCCAGAAAGATGAGGTGAAATGTGCATTTAGGTGAGTAGTACCAGTCTCTGCCATCAGCTTTGTTCGATATGTAAACAAAGATTTATTTTCAGAGGTTGAGAATGGTCTCACAATTATTGGTCTGATAGAGATTTCCACAGTTGCCAAATATTTGTGCAGTTAGTTGAGGTTATTATTGTGCTATGGTGAAAAGAGCATAGGGTTTGGAATCAGAAGGCCTAAATTTGTATTTGCGTTAGCGTATCACTGGTTAGTCATGTGACTCCCAAGAGACAATCTTTCTAAGCATCACTTTTATTAACTGTAAAAGAGGGGATAATAACATAGTGATTTCAGGGTCAGTGAGATCAAAGGAAGAGTTTATTTTACTCAGATACTGTACAAATATAAGAAGCTCCCTTGATCCAGTCTCCATTCTAACTGCTAAGATGATATATGCTACATTTACTCTAAGATTGATAAAGATGTTAATTCCTCCATTACTATGGGATTAAACATCATTTTCAATCTTCTTCCAAAGACTGAATATTTATTATTTTTTTTGGGAAAAAAACTCAAGATGGAAAGCTTTCCTTTTAAGCCAGTGTTAGCAACAAGGAAGAAAATTATTAGCATCCCTAGGTGTTGACTTATGCATCAGTCCTTAAAATTCATTGTGAAAATTCTTAACTATCCTTAAAGTCACATCCTTCATAATACAGAGAGGAAGGTGTTAGGGCAAGATGTGAGAAGTGTGGGCTCTTGAAATATTTTCTTTAAAAAAAAAGAATAGTTGTGGTATTTTGAATTTTCATTGAGGTAAAGTGATGTAATAGTGTATTAAACACAGAAGAATTAAAAATAAAGATGTTTTATATGAACTATTTCTTTACTGTCTATATCTTAATTATGACAAATCCAAAAGGATTGGCAAATTTATCAGTATATTTTTATTAGATTCTGCTCTCTGTCTTGGGTATTGAAAGAACCTCTTGTAAACGTGTGTAACAAATTCAGTTTAATTTCCTCAGTTGTTTCAGTGGAATTCATTTCTTTAGAGGAAGGATAGCATTGCTGGCAATAAGTCAACTGATTTTTCTGAATTTACTTATTCACAAGAGAGATAATAGTTTTAAAAGCTGACTTAGTGTGAGGACACAAGCTCTAAAAACTTGAGTTTGGGATTTTCAGCCCATAGAGGTTATGCCAAATGAATGAGTGGAAAGGAGTGGATTTTGAGTGTTGTCCTGCCCAGGAGAGATGGGTTGGAGAGGCAGGAACCCAGCAGGAATAATTTAAATAGGAGCCAGTGAGGATAAAGTGCTCAGTATCCACCCCAAACTCCTGTTGGGCCTCACAGAACCTATTGATAGAATAGGGTGGGATGGGCTTAAAGCAATGTACCATGCTTCATAATGAAACCTGAGACAAAGAAAGCAATCCTGATAGATAAGTCTCAACTCATGCCAGCCTCTACAGCAAGAAAGCATACAAGGCAACAGGAAGGTCTAAGTGGAGAAAGTCTAGGCATTATCTCCTCAAAAGGCTTCAGCCTCAGTTGATGACAGAGTGACAAAGATTTTCCACCCCCATGAGTTGACTGAAAGGCCTTTTAGGTTTACCATTTTTTTAACACATAAAATTCAAAACTGCTGTAAATGTGAATCACTGCATTCTAATTTTCTTTTTTCATATCTAGACGTCAAAGGCCTCAGGCTTCTGAATTTATCTTGTGATCTTTGAAACCAGCAACCTGAGAACAGAGCAGGGAGAGGATGTGTCAGCCATGGATGCCATGGTGGTAGGTACCAAGGATCAAAGGAGTTGCTCTACTGGAAGCCAGCATGGATAGAAGCTGACAAGAGGGCTGCCCTCAACTGGTACTCAAAACATGGGTTGTGTTCTTTGGTGTTTCCATCAATAGGTGTATATATCTCACTGCTTGTTAAATATTTTGAGTATACCTACCTTGAATTGAGGTCTGTAACTAGGAAGTTTCAAAGGCCTTCTCTTTCAACTTGGATCATCCCATAGGGACAAGGAAAGAAGAGGAAGAAGAAGAAGAAGAAGAAGAAGAAGAAGAAGAAG